AGGTCTGTAGTTGCTCTGCTCCTATTTGTATTGTTTAATAAACGTTTGAGCAGGAAAAATGTTTCTTATCTCTACATATTTCATTACATATCTGACCGCTAAACTGTGTTAACATTGATCATAAGATCTTCATGTAAATAGCACCCGATTAGCCACAACAAAAAATCTTAGAAAAATAAATTGTCTTCCTAAAATTAATATCAAACTATTCAGTGGAAGAAAAAAAATTAATGTTTGATAAACTGAAAGAAAATTAAAGCAGTGATGAAGCTTAACAGGCTTGATATGAGGTTTTTAAGTCATCTTATAATTAAATAAAAGTACACAAAGTACCGAGCAGCGCTAAGTATATTCCTAGGTAGCACAATACATTTTCAAAACATTTTATTGGTGTTGTAAAAAGGTTTTTTAGAAACATTTCAGACTGAAAATTTTAAAAATATTTTTAAAACATTTCCTCTTCTCATTATAACATTTTAAAAAAAAAATTAAAAATGTTTTCAAAAAGCTTATGATTAAATCCTTTTGGAACAGTTTTTCTAAAATATTTTTGAAACGTTTTAAAAATGTTTCAAAAGGTATGTTTAGCTTTCAAATATCAAAGATTTTTATATTACGTTTTGAAAACGTTCGAAAAAACATGAAATGAAACATTCCTTTTCCATGCATCTGAAACATTGCATGAATACGTTTCTGAAACATTTGGAAGGAACGTTGTCAAAATGTTTTTGAAGCATTCTTAATTCATTTAAGGAACATTTTTTAAAAATTATTCAAAGGGTATTTATGACTTCCAAATATTAATGATCTTATAAAACGTTTTCAAAACGTTCTTAAAACATGAAATGAAACATTCTTTTTCTGTAAATCGAAAACTTTGCATATACGTTTCTAAAACATTTGTGAGGAACATTTTAAAAATATTTCAAAAAATTGAAACATATTGATTATAGATTTTGTATCTTTTTTGGAAACATTTTCAAAATGTTTCTGAAACATTTATGTAATTGCAGCACAATTTAATTCATTAAGTAACTTTAAAAGTATGTTGTGAGAATGATTTTAGAACATTCAATATTTAATTTGTTTTCTTTTTTGTAAAGACTTCATTTTTCATTGCTGCAACATTTTTAATGTTATTTTCAAAATGTTCTTAAAACATTCAAATAATGTATGAGTGCGATTTTCCTAAAATTTAGTTTATGAAGAAGAAAAAAAGAATACATAGAAAGAATAGTGTTGAAATGAGGAATTGGAGTAATTTTTTAATTGAAAGATATTTTCCGGTATTTTATAATGATTTCTGGTTTGGGCTTATTGATTAAACAGACATATAAAGTCCTTTGATTAAACAAATCAAAAAATTTCTAAATAAAAGGATAGGCAAACAAAAAATTAAAATATAAATAAATGTAAAAAATCATAAGCATTTAATAAAACTCTTTATGTCTTAAGTTTAAAAAAAAATGTTCTTCATTAAATCTGTGATCCACTCTCAGAATTTTACTCTGAGGCATTAGATAGGGATTGGCTAACTGGTCAGTTTCAGTGTCATGATAACCTATTATGCAATTCTCCTGCTGGGCAGCGCGTTACAGAGTAAAGTGGTTTGCTGCGTATCTAGGCGAAATTTTGAATTCTTGTAAGCAAGATGTGCGCGCTTACTCCGTGCCGATTTGAATGAGAAGACTTTGTACCATTAAACCACAATAATAACCTCGGGATTTATTAACTCTGATTGGTAAGAATTATTCCTTTATCATTGACTTTAAAAGATTATTTAAAAATGACTTTTATACCACCAGTGCATGATCAATAACTTTGTACAAATGTATGTAGCAATTTAAGGCTATATATATGTATTTGATTTGAATATTTCATTCTTAAGGCAACACAATTATATCCTTGATTCAAGTATTCATTGTCTTTGTGAAATGTCAATCATCAAACAATATGTTGATTTAAAAATGAAATTTCTTTACAGCATGGTGTTGGTTGCATCATCCGTATTTTCAAATTCCCACATTCAAATGACCCGCCTTCGGTGAAGGCAAAGGTGTACGTAAATACTTTTACTCTTCAATAATTTTTTCATAGTAATTTTTTTTCTGCTTTGTTCAATCCAAATGAGGAAAGACATTAATCATCTTAGATACGTTAGATGTAGAACGCTGATACAAACACAATTTTTCTTATCTTTACAGGTTGTGCTATTCTTTTCGAGGGGCAGATTCCTTATCAGCCTTTTTAGTGTATGTGATTCAAAGTCTTATAGATCCGCCGCTCTGTTCGACCAATACAGTGAACATAGGGTTTCTGTGATTCTGTTTTTTTTTTTAAATTCAGTAAATGGATTAATTTAGACGCCGTTTTCACCCTTTAAAAACCCAGTGACTTGAAAGAAAATAAATTAAAACTTGATGGAATTCAAATATGATTAACATATTGAATATGGGTTTGTATTAAAGGTTCAAAAATTAGAAATAATTTGTGTTTATTTTTTTAAAATATAAATATATCATTATTCAATGAGAAAAAGTAAAATTTCAGGAAAAATACTTTTGTAACCTCGACTTGAATGTTTTGAAAACGTTTTAAAAACCAAACAAATTAAATTTGAATAAAACATTTTTGAAAATGTTTTTGTTACATTTTAAAACAATAACATTTGTTGAAATATTTTGTTAAATGTTTTAAAAATATTATAAAAACCATACAAAATCACGTGATTAAAACACTGATGTAAAATATTTTTGTAATATTTTAACAAAATGTTCTGGAAACATTTGCTGAAATATTTCACTAAAACGTTTTAAAAACGTTTAAAAACCCATACAAAATCACATGATTAAAACATTATTCTAATGCAATTTTTTGTAAAACACTTTTTAATTGACTAATTCACTGATGTTTGAAGCAGTAAAACGAGCATTAACGAGCGTGAAAGCTTTTTCATTGTGACGTCATAATAGAGCGACGCAAAAGACAATGCTCAGTGACGTATTTCATGTAACAAAATTCACCAAAATAAGACATAATCAAAAAACAAAATGCATGGATTGCATTAGAATGGGAATAACTGATCTTTTAATTTAGTATTTGCGACCGTTAATGCCGATTTAACGGTCGCAAACATCCGTTTTACCGGCTCCGCTTACGCGTCGCCGGTAAAACTCAGTTTGCGACCGTTAAATCAGCATTAACGGTCGCAAATACCAAATTAGAAGATCGTTTTTCCCTAATTGAAAATGCTTTTGCAACATTTTAAAAAATTGTTCTGACAACATTTTGCTGAAATATTTCACTAAAATGTTTTAATAACGTTTAAAAAAACATACAAAATCACTTGATTAAAACTTTTTCTAAAATGTTTTCGCAACATTTTGAAAATGTTTTAAAAAAATTTTAAAAATGTTTTTGTGTTAGCTGGGTTTAAGAAATAAGGCATCATTTTAAACATCTATCGGGATATAAATATGGGTTGGTCACGAGATTAAATTTCATATAGCCCAAAGGGCTTTATGATGAATTTAATCTCAGACCAACCCGTATTTATAGCCCGATAGATGTTTCAAAATGATACCTTATTGCTTATATTTACATTTGTGTCTTATTCATTCTTTATATTTGCCTGATTGTGACTTTTAACGTGTGAAATGCATTATTTTTTTTTTCAAACCCAACGGCATGTATGTAATGCACTAAACGCGTGTTGACCCTTGATGACGTCGCAGAGAAATTACGTCGAACGTTTATCCATACGCACATTTATGACCTCTTGACCCCGTACTGGTATTTATACAGTTATAGATACGTATTGCTTTCAGTAGAGTTGTGTATCTTCTTCTGTCAAAAGATCAATCAATATCACAGAAATAAAATTGCAAGAAAATTTTTATCTGATTCCATATGCAAAAATTAACTATATATATATATATATATATATATATATATATATATATATATATATATATATATATATATATATATATATATATATATATATATATATATATATATAAAGAAGTAATACTTGCAAATCGAATTTAGGTATATCAATTGTGAGATGAAGAGAAATGACATTTTATTTTTATTTATCATTAAAAATATTCGATGTTTATGGAGATTGTGTAAATATTTTAGGGTTGGTTTACACTGTGCGTCTTGATATGTACATCTAAACTCTTTCTTCTATTTCGACACATGTGTCTTCTTATTTACAATATATGTCTCTTGACAAATGCATTTTTTAAAATACTTTATAGAGATGAAATTTATCTACTTAAAAACATTACAAAACCTTAAAACTTTCTTTCCAGAGTTATTTTAGATGAACAAATCATTCCTAATTTCCTTTTAATGAAAATTCTTGGAAGATATGATTTATATATTTTCTTTAAAAACCTCCTCTTTATAATAATTATCAATTAGTTTTTTTATTATTGAATTTTTAATTAGTGTTTCCTTTTTTGTACTTTGGAAAGTAATTTTTGCAACCATATAAAGGAAAATAAGGCTTATGATTCAATCTCAACTTTGACCTTTTTTTCATTGGTCAGTTCCATGCATCTAGACACATGGAATAGAACAACTTCAATTTGATCTGTCAAGATGCAACACCTATTAAATCTGATATATATATTTATATATATATATATATATATATATATATATATATATATATATATATATATATATATATATATCTATATCTATATCTATATCTATATATATATATATATATATATATATATATATATATATATATATATATATATATATATATATATATATAGAAGTAATACTTGCTAGGACTGATAGGAAGGTCCCTATCTACCAACAGTGATTTTTCGTACAATGCATATATTTATCTTACTAATTGACTCCTATTATTATATTTGCAAATTACTCAGTATTACACTAAAGTTGCCATAATAGAGTCAAGGATTTTCAATTGAATATATTTAGAAAACTCAGTGGATGTATCTAACTAGCTTAATGGAGCTGGATCGCCAACGGAGAAAATATATGATGACAGTAAAGATTTTGCTCTGTGCTTAGCGCTCAAAAAGCGTAAAATCATTGCTCTGTGTCTCCTATGACCACACGGTTAAAAGGTAATGGGTATTTTCAAAATATTGGTCACTGGTACTGCTTTTACACATACTTATAAATGAATGAAAAAGTCAAAATATGTAATCTGGATTGACATTGAATCATAATACTGCTCAGTTTAATTCATTATATTTTTTAAAAATACAAGTAAATGGACCAGCTTTATCATCTTTTTGAACGAAAAATACAAATGTACGTCATTCTTCAAAACTCCAATAGATTTTCAATCAATCAATGTGTCCTCATTTTTTTCTAACAACTCTCGTTATCAATTTCAAATGACTTATTTTAACACAGAAAGTGATTTCTGACATAAGTTTAACTTAAATGATCTGTCAATTCACATGTCATTACCAAGATGAAATTCTTATTTAATTATTTTTTGAAAGAAAGCTTTTTAAAGTTTTTGTACATTCAATGAACCTGATAAATTTCTTGTCCCCTGTTGGAGTGTCTCTTAAACGTTGTAAATGCTTTAATATGGTCATTATCCCTCTTACAGCATGTGTAATAACAGATACAGGTCACATTCGGTAAAATTTCCCCAATGATATTCACATTTTCGTCCATTGCATGTAGTACACTTTGCTCGATTAACTGTAATATAGGCAAGCTTGTGTTTTAGGATTTTAGAAGAAATTATATTTTTTTGGACACAATTTCTTCAGAATTGCAGATTTTTGGTCAAATGATTTGCCATCAACTTTTGCTCAAGTGTACGCTTTTAAGCAAATTGAAAAATGATTATCATTCAAACAATAGCAATCTTGAATTTCCGTAAGGAAAAAATACAGAATTGAAATGCGGATCGTTGCTTTTGTCAAAGAGTACATAATTGGGCAATTTATTGTTTTGCCGCAAAGAAGGATATGGAGATAAGGAACAGTATTCAATCTCAAAATCCATAAAACAATACAAAATTAAAACAGAGCAAACAATCACCCCCGAAATATCAGAGGTGGGATCAGGTGCCATGGAGGAGTGTGCATCCCCTGCCGATCGTTCACACCCGCCGTGTGCTCCTTGTCATGATCAGGAAATAACGGGAAAAATCTGTCGTCGATTTAGTGTTTAAATAATGGACTAACAATTGGTATGAAAAACGTCATTCAGCATTTGACTGAATGATAAACTGTATTTGCTGACAAGGTCATTGTATAGACCATAGAACTTACGAAATGATGACTTTAAACCAGACTGCTGATATTTTTGCTTTGTTAACTTACTTGTCAATAATGTACCTCGTATTAGCAAAACAAAACTAATCTATTCCTTGTGAAAGATTTGCAGTGTATCTGAAAAAAAAATTTATGCGAGAAATTGGTGTCACTACCATGCTTTGGAAACATAGGGTTGCAAATACAAAGGTAAGACATCTGGGTAGTTGCAGAGGATTTAGATTATCAAGAACTGGCAGTGGACAATGAAACTAAAAAAGTATTTATCAAGAAAAGAACGAGGATGAGTTCACAAATCCTTCTTTTGCTTGTTTTTATTTTTCAGTAGCAGAGAAAATTTATCTTGAAAGCAATTGGGCTTAGAAGATGAGAATCTCAGAGGTGAAAAGATTAAGAAAAAATTGAAATAAAGATGACACAGTAGCATTAGAATTGAAGAAAATAATAAAAAAAATTAAATTTGTCATCCTCTTTGTACTTTTTACACGAATCAGCACAAAAAGTTGAAGGTCTGATACATTAGATTTGGGATTGCCTAACAGATAACCTTTGTAAAAAATCTGACAGAAGAAAAGTAAATGTTTAATAAATAAATATTTAAAAACTTACAGTAGTTGTAAATTTGGCATTCCATTAAAGGTGTTGTCTGAAATGGTGGTTATCTTGTTGGAATGTAGGAATCTGAAATTATATTTTGTCAAAAATTCAATGAAGCATCTGGGTACATCCCACCAATTATTTTTAGAATCGGTAGGAGAAGAAAGTAGTGCAGAAAAAATTCCAAGTTCCTTAATTTGCAGACTTGCATAAAAAAATTGGGCAGATGTACTTAACTGAGCTTCAAACTTGTTGATAAGGAGTATGTTTCCAACCAAAAAAGCTTGGAAAATGTAATTTATCAAGAAGATCAGCCGAATTATTTTGTGTATTATAACGCCAGTTACAATTCTGAAATTCCCCTACTTTCACTTTCATTTTTAGAGGTTCCCGCAGACAGACGCATTTTGCCGGAAAACAAATCTGACATGCCACCTCGAGATTTTAACCAAGGAAAGACAAGTTGATGTGCTTTGATTTGAGGGGTCACTCACTTCTGAACGAAAAATAGGGACATCGCTATGAGAAGAAACGTTAACATTGTCACCTAAGGGAAAACAATTAGTGGACTGTACCTTTGTAAAAAATCTGACAGAAGAAAAGTAAATGTTTAATAAATAAATATTTAAAAACTTACAGTAGTTGTAAATTTGGCATTCCATTAAAGGTATTGTCTGAAATGGTGGTTATCTTGTTGGAATCTAGGAATCTGAAATTATATTTTGTCAAGAATTCAATGAAGCATCTATTCTACAAACAATCGCTTTATTTCCATCTTGCTGAATCTAACGACATTTTTTTCTGTATAAAAATTGAACTCTTAGAGGTAGGTTATACAGAATATTATGTAATTTTTATTGCATCATACTTAAAAAAATATTGAACGTTTTTTGTCAAAATATATTTTTATAATATTGAACATGTCAACAACTAACTATGGACCATGAAACAAAAAGTATAAAAAATAAAAAAAAATCTTTACTGTGTTGAAAAAATTCTTGACTCTGTTCAAAGAAATCATGACTGTGTTTAAAGAATTCTTTTCTTTGCTTTTGCGGTGTTACATGTACAGCTTTATTTAATGCCTTAAAGATAGAGTGAAGTCCTTTTCTGATCCTTTGTTTTGATGGATCTTATAAAGATTCAATACTTCTAAAAAAAAGTATTTCTTTTTATCCTTATAAAATTGGTAATGATTCTAAATGAATCACAAGCATAAAAAGACAAATGTTCTTTTAAAATTAGATTGATTTTTTCAGTTGTAAATCATTCTTTTTAAATAAAAAAAACATAGAGCAAGAGTTTTATTGCAAAAAAAAAATCCCTTACGAAATAATGCCATCATAATTGAAGAAATTTTATAAAATATCTAACTGTGTTACCCTTTGAAAATTGTTTGTTGTTTACATACGAGGGCTGTTCAATAAATAATGTTCTGAACTATATGACATACATTACAGATATCATAGGGCATTAAACATTACTTTCTCTCATTATTGAATCTTTCATGAATTTATAACAGTTTATGTGACAACATTTCATCACATAGTTTCATCATGAGAAGCTGGGTAACAATGTCTTTTCGAGACACTGCATTATAAATAAAATATGATGATGTATGTTTAATTTTAAGACACATAGCAAATTTGATAGACGTAATATCGGGTGAAGTTTACACTGTCTCTAAGAAACGTTTGACGGTAAAAAAGGTTGGTACTCAAAGGTCACCCTATATTTTGAAAAATGTGTGAAAACGACAGCGTATAAGAAATTCTTAAGAATTATACTAAAATATCAGCAATTGTAGTTATCCAAGTTTGTTTTATTTTTAAACAGATATTGGAACATGAAACTATTGCCTAGAACCCTAAATACAAAATTTACAATGTACTTGATTAAACAGCCGAATGTCTGAAAAAGCACAAGTGTGCATGAGCACAAAGAAAGATTTCTATGTAATTTTCTTTAAAAAATAGTAGTATCGTTGTTCAAATTTACATTCGAAGAGACAGTTTAATTTGTGGAGAGTCTAGAAAGCATATGTTTTTTTTTGCAAAAACAATCAAATCAGGAATCCACTACATTGAATATCTTGGGGAGCGTCCAAACCCACATACATGTACCCTAAAGAGTAAATGGGTTTTCAATATAAATGTAAACTTAATGGTTTTCCGTATTAACAATATTCGCCAGATCTTTGACTTTTTTTCTTGTTTCCAATCTTGTAAAAAAAACACCTTTCAGAAAGAAGAAACAAGTACAGGAATTCATAGGATCTGCCATATTCCAGTATATGAAGAGCCATACTCAAAATTGAGTTCTAAAAACAATAAAAAATTGGATAAAAAATGTTGCGCAAATGTAGTTTAATTAAAAGAGATTAATAAGTAAAATTGAAAGTGAAGGCTAAATCATTTAAAAGCGTCTTTTGCTTCTTTCTGAGCACCGAGGACATTATTTATTGAACAGCCCTCGTAAACTCTGTAAAAAGAAAATAGTACGTTGAATAAAGGTAGAAATATCCCTGGACGTCCGTTAGTCGGTGTTTCAGTCAATTACATAAATGACCAAATTCAACATGATCTTATACCCCTTTTGACTTGATTTAATCCGTCCTAAAAAGAGCAATACGTGTAAATAAAAAAAGAAATATAACTAATTATTCTTATAAAATAGGCATTGAATTTAAATGATGTGAAACATAAAGTAAAAGAAAGTTTGATAAAAAGTCGAAATTGATGAAAATACGAATTTCCATGATTTTTTTTTTTACTTTTTACTCAGTTCTAAAGCATGATTTATTACACAAGCAAAATAACTACAGTCTCTGAAACATTTAACTTTTCCATTTCTTGTATGAAGAATGATTATTTTATCGCAAAAATTGTCTACGAAATATGTATTTTCATTTTTTATAATTTCACTGTTACTTTATTCATCTAATATCCCTTTAAGATAAATGTTTTTATAAGCACATTAAATATCTACATGTATGAAGAAGGATAATAAAATTTCAGATTTAAATAGGGAAGTCCATAAATTTGCCAACTGCAGCACATATGTAAAAATATTATTTCTAATAAGTATTTTTGAATAATGCACGAAAACATGTAAGAACTATTTTTTATATAACAGTGTATATTAAAATTCTAAATTACGAGTGTATTATTTATAAATGTTTTAATTTTTTCATTATTTTACACAGAATCGCCTTAGCACTGGAATATATTGAAGGTTGTTACATCTGTGGTAATAGATTCATTCTATAAGTAGTAGTTTTCGTTCCTTTAATCCACAGTAATTATTTTATGAGTTGAAAGAATATACAGAGATATTGAGCAAATGTGGTTGATATAGGCCTTATCGTTTCTTGGTGATAGACCTGCACCCATTACGTTTACCTGCAGGGTCCATTACCTGGAAAATGTATGCCCAATTTAGCATCTGTAGTAGGTATATTAGTGTACATCCTTGTATCATCCATTCAAGTTTGCTTCGCATAGGGCTCATAGTTACTTGGAAATGAAAACTAACCTTTTGACTCATCCAGAAAATGAAGGTCAGATTCAACATTCAAAGCAAGCCTGGTTGTCTTCACTGCATGTTCAATGTAACATCCATGCAAGTTTGGTCATTATAGGGCTCATAGTAACTTAGAACTGAAACCTGCACCAATAACTTTAACCCGTTTATTCTACCAGAAAATGCAGGTCATATTCACCATCCGAAACAAACCAGATTGTATGCATCCTTACACAGCTTTGTAAAGGCTTGAAAAAGGGGGCGGGACCTAATTTATATGGGAAAAATTTACTGTGACGTCAAACAAAAATATGACTTTCACGTATTTCTCATAATACCTGAAAATGAAATAATTTGCAACTTTTAATTCTATTAGCATAATAAACAACAATAAAACTTATCAATGCATTAAAAAAAAGTTGTTAGTTAAATCCCATATGGCTGGTCATAAACAAAGCACTGATCGCTATGAACTTGAAAACATGGCGTCATTTTGGTAAAAATGACGTTTATCATGTGCTGTGAAAGGCAGATTGAGGTATTTTTTTACAATAAAAAATGCGTTATATTATTAAACTGAATATTATTTTCAACTTTTAAATAGTCGATTAATACCCATGTGTATCCTTTGTTTAGTGTGATTATTAATTAACTATCAAGAGAATGTATTTCATTAATTATGTCGTGTTTTTATGTACAAGTTACGTTTTATGTACATCGAGATGCATCATAAAATCGTTCTTTTGCAAGGGTATATACTGCATAGATCTTAACCATTTTTTGAATATAGTTAAAAATATTTTCCTTAACTTGAAAAGTGTTGCTGTTTTCTTTAAGTTGAGGGCGTGATTTTATAATTACACAAAATATTTGGTAAATGTCAAACATATTTCGACATTGGCCTATTTACTTGAAAATTTAACTATTAAAACGGGAATTCTATTCATAGCAGCAGCACTTTTCAGAAACTACAACGTATGTAGAAATTAATAGCTTGAATTTTTAATTTCAATTTTAACCCTAACCTTGTATTTCGTAACGATTGTCATATGATTGCGCCCATGACAAAAGGGCTTTATGGCATTTTTGCTAAACCAGAGAAATAACGTCATAAAGGTGTGACGTAGCAGACTGACGGTGAACTTCGACGCAGAATTTTTTTAACCACATGTTTTGACGTTTGACGCATCCAGAGTTTTTATCGCTGTTTCCAACATGTGGAATTTATTTTCATTTATGGATTAATTTAATCAATATCTTAATCTCTCAATATACTGACTTTTAAAGATATAAACAAAAACATTTAGAACTGGTTTCTTAACAAACATATTTATTATACGTCTCGGTAATAATAGTTTTCCTACATGTATAGAATTAAGCTGTCTGACATCTTCGCTAGCAAAGATGAAAGCTGTCGACAAGGTGCTTTTCTGATAGGATAATCAACCTGTATACTCTAGATAGAGGAATTTTATTTACAGTTAGATGTTAGACAGGGGTATATTGTTAAAATATTGCGAAGGAAAATTGTCTTCTTTTTTTTGAGATTCGCTCCACCACTCTCAATACACATGTACATCGCGATCGCGTCGATTACATATTAACATTGATCCATCGGTGTATACTGCTTAAACTTTTGTTAAATTGTTTGTACTAATGTTGAAACTAAACATACATCTTCTATGTTTTTACAAATTTAGCAAAAATGTGTAAGAACGACTGTAAAGATGTTGCATTTTCTATAAATAAAAATAGGAGAGATAACTATGATGTATACAATCGATGTAACAGGGGCACCAGAGAGGGAATTTCATTGGCATGAATTTGCTCTCGGATTATAAAAGAAATCTTTCATGACCAAATTAAAAGGCTTTTTATTATCAGCATAATTTATGATTTTTAAATAAAAAAATATTGTTATACTTTGGGAACAAAAAAATCCCGTTAATGTACAAAAGGGAAATCAAGAAAAAAAAAGGAAAAAGGTAGTATTGTACAAACGACTACTTTTAAAATGTTTTTTTTTTTTTAAATCTCTCATCCATAGTTTTTTTTGCATGAAGTAATTTAGTAACAAATTTCATTAAAAAAAAATATAATATACATATAAAGAATCTACCGTATCATGAATTATAATTAAATAAATTAAACTTTTAAAAGGATGTTTTGTCTTAATTATTTTTTTGT